AATGAAACCTTAAAACTAAAACTCGAGAATACCAGATGAAATATGACATTAAAGTATAGAACCATCCATAATTCAAACCAACAGCCAATATTCATCCACGTGTCGCAATCCGGTTGAAAGTCTGGTTTAGGAAAGTCGCATTAGCCAAAAAAGTGTTTTAACACAAATTATGGGAGCATCAGTTGAACCCAGTTCAATTTCCACACAAACTCGAAGTGATGCGATCTCCCCTAGCATGAGGGTGATGTTAGATTTAATATCGGAAACGACATATAACTAACTGCAGCTTGCATATCTTTACTTTTTAGATTTACTATAATACTTCTTTTAATTACTGTACATTGATTTTAATTTTTAATCCTTTGACACCTCTAATAGTACAATAAATTTTCCTCAAAATTCTCAGTATAGTTACAAAGCTACACTTCCCAATGATACGCTAAGCGCTCAATTTCCCCTTAAAAATTTAACTCAAATCAGGGGTAGAAGTAAAAAATCAAGACGCTACTTTTTTATGTCTTTCTTTTTATTTTATTTATTTATTTTGATAATTTGTTGTATATATATATTTTTTAATTTAATATTTGAAAATTTCCCTTGAGAACAACGGACATGCCCTTGACGTGTGAAATGGACTATTTTCGTCTATTAGGATAGTGCTACAAAAGTTTAGCATATGAGTACCAAATATGCTACATGTACATTGTCATTGACGTTACTTTTTACATTGTGTCACGTGACAACACATTATTGGCCAGTTTAAAAATAAAAAAAAATAGTTTTTTAACCGATCTAATCTTGCTAATAGTGATGATGTCAAGTATGATGTACAAATATGATATACGCACAACATTATTCTTTAAATGAAAGTTGTAAATTAACTTGTGTTCTACCTCGACAATAGATCCTATGCTGCAAAATTTCCAATAAAATGCGTTGGTATGATATTGGCTACTATTAGATGTGAATGTCATCATTACCAATCAAGAAAATATATAAAAGTGTTTTATTAATTATTTTTTTGATGTAAAATATCAATTAGAACCAATATTTTGACTAGGGTTCATACCCAAATAGGGGCTTTCTTTTCGCTTGTATGCGATTTCATTATGGATTTTCATTTTCAAAGAATGTTGTCGTATTCGTTCCAAAGTTTTCCTTAAATCGGTCAAGTGTGAGTATGCTTATAATTAGTTTCAAGAACCAACAACAAAGAAAATTTGTGCAGGTAATTTCGAAAATTTGAAAGTGAAATTAACATATTTTCATAATGACTTACATTTTACAATTTACCATTTTCTGAAGCATAAAAGAATCCGAACAAATTGAACCATAACTAGTCGAATTTGGTCTACTCTAATTCAATTCATCTGCACATGAAATT